TTCGAGTATGAAAGCGATCTCTATTCCCCCTATACGTTTCAAAGCGTCCACATAAAATGCGTATGTGTGCGAAAGAGAGAATAGGATTTAACGTTCATTTGACTACTGTATCGTCAAGCAAACAGTGATTGAACGTTGGAGAATAATACTTATTGCAAGTTTGTCTTTTGTCGAGTGCACATCAAAACGAAGAAACTTCTGAGCAAGTTATATTTTCAATTGGAAAAGTTGAAAAGTATATTGTTTGTCTCAATTTTATTTGAAAAACGAATTCGAATAAAAGTAAGTTTAATTTTTCATATTGATAGTGAATTAAAACATCTCTATTTTTTTCGATTTTGAAACGAATACTAACAAAATATGAACGACGTCTTTGTTTCTTGAATTTTTCTTTTTCATTTGAGATCGTCTGCAACTATTTTTGGTTCAAAGCTCAAGCCAACGACATTTTCATAGTGCATTCGTTCCATTTGTTTTACAATTTAAAAAAGTCATTTGATAAATTTCCGAAGAATATGTAAAAATATCAGTTGACTTTATATTTTTCTATTTGCGTCCGCCATTTTGAATTGTTAATTACATTTGAGATATGATATGCAACGGTAACTCCATATGAAACAAAAAAAGTATTCAACATCATTTCTAATATGGCTTATACAAAGAACACAACACCGCGCAGTTTTTCCCAATGATTCAACGAATTTAGAAACTTAAAAACGAATGAGTAATAAACGTTTTCTTTGCGCCACTTGATTTTCAATGTGAAATATAATCACACATTATGAAATAGATAATTTTTAATAACAATAAATGAATATTACTTCAGTCATACTACTTGAGAATGATATACTTGCATAACCATATATGATTTTACACCATAACACCGGAAACTCTATGAACGATTATAGTTCTTAATTGCAAAATGAATTGATAAATCACACATTTTGATGGCGCAATTCCTAATTTTTCATTTTCTTCTATTTTTTCAATTTAGATTCATCATGCAAATCTTTGTTAAAACTTTGAC